CAGACTGCCTAGTTTGGGGTTAGACGGCTGTATGCGAGTTGTATGTGTATGTGAAATTAGGTATTAATATTATTTTTTTGTGATATAAAATGAGCCTTTTGACATTTGTAAGTCAAAAGTAACGATTGCGTTGATATGCAAGTGTGCCGTCTTCGTCAATGACATCAAGAGTAGAATACAATTATGATCTAGAATACGGTTAATGTGTTAGGCGTACGCAGTTATTGCATTAAAAAAATGCAAACCAAAAATAGTATAATCAAAGTGATAAGGACATAAGATTATTTGAAATGCTTCTTCAGATTTTCCAGTTATCGTTTTATTCAGTCAGTGTTTAGATTTTTCTTCTTAGCCTTAAAGCTTCTTTACATAGATAATTATATTGGTATTGACTTACAATGTTAATTTTGTAAAAATAATAACCTATTTTACCCTTAAAACCATTGAAAAAAATACGTTTAGTCCCCTTACCATAAAATATTACCTACTCATGTTATCCGGTCATCTTACTTACGTTAGTCGTTTTTATGTTAAAGCCTACACATAATAATCATTATTCCTAATGTTTAGTTCATCATCATCATCATCGACAGCCTTTAATAGTCCACTGCATAGGGCTCTCCTTAGAGATTAGGTTTTGGCCTACTATATCACGCTGGCCAGACGGGTTGGTATAAGGGTTGGTTCAAGTTTTCCTTCTCTTTGCAGTGCTATTGTCCTGCGTTGTTTGCTCCCGTAGTTGACTCACGGGATGAATAGGGGTGTCTATATATAGTTGGAGTGAAAATTACTAGATATAACGATTAATGCCCAACAACACCTCGATCAATATTCTTTTCAAAATGCTTATGAAATGATATTTATTTCTTCAAGTAATTTCAATCTTTTCAGAAATTTTAAAAGTCGGAATTTACAGCTAGAAGAAACGCCGTTCTGGGAAGAAAGGCAGAAACAAATGACAGAGGTGTATTTTTTTTGCAGTCCGTGTACAATGTTAAAGAGAACTATATAAGTGTAGTAGGACCTGGGTTGGTCATTTGAAGAAAAGACCATAGTTGTGAGTAGACCCGTCCATACATACGGCATACGAGACCCAGTCATTGTGTAGCCTAAAATACTACCGCCTGCAGTTGAGTAGGCCGTGGAAACACTCAAAACCACCAGAAAGTTACTTGAAACAAACGAAATACGAATTATAACAACAAATTAAATGTTAATCACTTTCAAATGTGGGATTGAGCAGCATCAATCCCAAACAAATTTGTCATCCAAATAATCTGTAAGTATTTTCACATACTTTTTGTTTACCTAAGCAATTAAATTTGTTAATACTTAATTCATGAAATTTGCTTGGCATTGAATTGTAGAATCGCACACCCTAACATCGAAAAGACTTGCTTACTTTTTGTAGTCTTGTTGTTGGCAACACGAGTTTATTTTTATTTCTAGTGTTTATATTATGAATGTCGCTAAACTTTGTGAATAAACGAATATTTTTCTTAATATACACAAAATTTTCATATATATATTGAGATGCGACTATCATAATACCAATTTCTTTAAACTTATCCCTCAGTGACTGCCTATAACTGAGATTATAAATTGTGTCAATAGCTCTATTTTGCAACGCAAACATACTCTGAATGTCAGCAGCATTTCTCCACAACAAAATACCGTATGACATTACACTATGAAAATAGCTAAAATACACTAGTCCAGCTGTTTCTACATCGGTTGATCGACGAATTTTCTAAACCGCGTATGCTGCAGAGCTGAGCCTATTGACAATCTATCAATGTGTAAATTTAGTAAATTTGTATGATATGACTGTGAACACAATATTAATCTAATATTACCCATAACCTACGGGAGTTAACCACGCTGCTACACCAGCAGCATGGTTAACTCCCGCAGTATCAGTACGGAATATATAAGTACTTTTAAGTACTAACCTTTTATTAATTGACACGGCCTGAAAGTAACTCCTATATAAACACACATATTCTAAAGAACTGTGTGATAAAATCATAATTTATTACTGATAATCAATTACGAGTAATGAGCGTTAATTTAATTACGTAAAACAAGATTAACGGGCAGTAACAAAATGATAATTTACTACATAAACATAAGTTATATCTACAAGTGATATCAGCGGGGTAAATTCCCGTTAGTATCGGGTAAGTATAAAACACTGAGTCGGGCACGCCGTTATCGCGGCGGTAAGACCTGTTATGGAGGATTGGATTGTATCTGATCCGCAAGGACCCAACGTCTGAGTCCCACGATTGCGATGGCCGGAACGTGGACACGGCGCTCCACACGCTGATTGCCGCCATGGTGCGGAGCGAGAGTGTGTGGAATTCTGCCGTCTCCTTCTGCGAGCAGGTTATGCTTGCGAAGGAGATGGCGGAGCAGGACCGGGAGAGGTTCAGAACTCTCCCGGCCCGCCAGGTCCTAGAACGGGCCGAGTACCGCAGACGACCACAGGTCGCAGCACGACCTCTATCCTCCATAAGCGCAGGCCTGAGGGTGACGGGTGAAACCATTTTTTTCTGTTCATTTCAACTCCAGCAAGAATCAATCAGAGATCGTGGGTTTGATTCACATGACCCACAATAATCGATCTTGTTGATTTGTTCTGTGTCTGAGTGTAATTTATCTATAATATGTATGTATTTACAAATATATAAGTATGTTTACTAGCAGTTTAGTTACTATAGTACAGGCTCTGTCTCATTTGGAGCTACACTGCCGTATGTGAGGTAAAAAAAAACTACATGTTACAACTTTGTAATCCAATATTCATTGTAATATATTCATAGGTACATCAACTGCAGTTAATACTTTGTGTGTATTCATTTTTCCAACTATTTGTGCATAGGTAGAATTATATTCAACTTTTGGGTAATCAACTGATGACTGAAATGATAACGGGTAGGCTAGCCATAGTAAAGAGGAGCTAAAGATCGAATGACAGAAACCCCAAAGCAATTTATCTAACTAAGAAACACACGCTCAGTTACGCCATTGGACAGAGGACGCAGCAGTCTCCCAAAAACACTTGATTTACAATCACACTGTTTTGATTTATTGTTCTCTCAACTGCAGTATGTCACTGAAATTTACTGAAACGCTAAAATAAACCGAGATCAGATCGAGCAATATTCACAAAAACAATCGCCTTTTCGCTTTCGCCGCGTATTGCAGCAAACCCTGGCTTGCTTCAAGTTTTCACATACTATTTTTAGCTAACGCTGATAGCACCGAGGTCGTCCTTGAATGTTTCATGTTTTTAATTTTATTGAAAGTATTCCGATACTAACATATCTTATTTCTCGAGATATTTGACGAGGCGAGACTGTATGACGAGATCACGTCAATCAGTCTCGCCTCGTCAAATATCTCAACAAAATAGTAACTGACCTTAGAGGGGTAATTCAAACAGAAGATCTATCTTTTCCTCTCTATGACAAAGGAACTTAGGTATATACTCAACTATGTTAACTGAGAATACGAAATGCTATTGCAAAATATTAGGTTTTATACTGAATATCGTAGCGAAATTTTTAAACTTGGCATGAACTTGGCAGGATAGTGTTAGTGTTAGTTTAGTGGCTAGTGACCCTAACTGCTAAGTCAGAGTGTTACTTTCGTGTTTTATTGGAACCTATCAAATGAACATATTGATTCGTGTTGTGTTTGCGTGTAATTTATCTCTATAAAAGCATTTAAGAATATATAAGTATGTTTATCAGAAGTTTCGTTTGTACATACTGCTTAGTTTGGAATCAGATAGCCGTAAATAAAATGTTTAAAGTTGTTATTATTATTGTTATAGAACCTTTCTTAATAGATCACCAACAATTAGTCTACAGCCAAGAAAGTTTCGCTTGATGCGAGAAGCCCAAAATCCATCTAAGTGGCGTGCAATGGGAGAGGCCTATGTCCAGCAGTGGACTGCGATAGGTTGATGATGAAAGAAAGTTTTAAAAGACTGCAATGAAAAAAAATGAAAAATGAAAAAAATACTTATTTAGAAACACAAAGAAAATAAATTACAGGAGTACTTAACAAGACATAAAATTAGTGTAGCAGATCTTATCAGATAAATATTAACGCGGTCCCCACACTAGGCAAGCCTGTATCGTGGGGTGCAATGGTTTGCACAGAATTTTTTTATGCCTATAACAGTGGTCTTAATAAGTATACTTAAAACGCGAAATACCGTAATGTTTTCGTCGTTTCGTCCCCTTAAGGAGAATGTGGGTTTCAGAAAAGTTAGATCTCCAATTAATTTGTTAAATCTACAATCGCATAATAATTCTTATATAAATAGATATCGTATGCCGCGTTGGGTTTACAGATGACACTTTGATAGATTTTGTTAATTTTAAATTTAACTTTAACTCTCAAAACCAGAATTTGAACTTATCCAGATTTAAGAACTGTTTGGCAGTTATGTATGCTGCTGCGTCAATGTAAATATCACATTAAATTTTAATTATATTTAGCCTCACGCGATCTTTAACAAAAGGCACATTATAGATTTCACTGCCTAAGAAGGAATCGTGAGGTAATTCGCCGACACTAAGAAAAACTAGAACATACCTTGAATTGTTTTAGTGTTGTTTTATTTAGTATTTAATTATATATATTTAGCAAGGACCTTCAACTGAACGTTATTAAATTGTCATCATTAAGAAAGTAATTACAGGAATGTGATGTTAATGTGTTTACTTAACATAGGACCTAATCAAATTTAAATCTGTATGTAAACATCTGGGACAGTAATAATTACTATCAACTAATTATTTTAGAACTATTCTCATATATTAATTATCGTCGGTTATTCCTAGCTAAACTGTTCGAAAATAACAAGCTGTGAGAAAACAATTATGATTTAATGAGATAGGTTAAAACAAATATACCCTCAATATTGTAGAATAATAACTTAAATGTCAATCTTACGAATATTCTTTTACAAATTAAATACATACCTTTGTGTATACTCCGTCCACTGACATAAAATAAATTCACTAATAGAAACACAACTAATAAAATCCTTGGCAACATTTTTACTTTAAAAAATATCAATTAAAAAAAAACACAAAAAAATCAAACTACTTTCACCATTTTAAATATCGAACGAAATATATACTTTTTCTTGATTAACACCAACGAGTTCAGTTCAACTGCTCTTACAACACTGTTTAAGAATTACTTTTGTAGTCATTTAAAAGTGCAATTCGAACAAGACACTGAAAGGCGTGGAGTGTCTACTGCTAATTTGTTTTTTGCCTTGAGCTGAACCTTGACATTGCGTATAGAAAATACATTCTTTATATTATTATACTCTTTAGTAGAACGGTATTGTGTTGTGCAATTTTAAGCGAATGCTTATCAAATTGTGTCAATAGTAAATTGTGCAATAAATGTTATTGTTGGGTTCCAAGATTGATCATGTAAATTATAACACCTTGAATTATTGCTCTTACGCACGGGTGTTATAATCAAATGAACATAAAAAATATGACCATTGTTATGTTTAAAATCACACGATAGTAACTTCGAACTAGTTCGCTCATTTAGTTTGTACTTTTTAAAGGTATATTATTAAGAGCAATGAATTATAAAAGTAAGAAATAATTATAAAAGTTATATTGATTTGCTAAATATTTCGATTAAAAAAAAACTTTTCATTTACTTGAAAGAAAGGAAACATTGAAATTAATTTGATTAATCGTGAAAATATACAACACTACACTAAAGTAGATTGATCCACGTCTGGTGTTAAAATGAACTAATATAGTTCATAAATATATTAATTATGATATAATTTAATCTAATATAGAAAAGAGCTATTTCATTCATTGAGTATTTTATATAGTCACGTCGAGGTCAATGAAAGGATTCTGGAAATGTCATTGTTACTTATAGATGATTTTACTAAATACTATTGCGATGACAATATTACGGTAATATAATAAACATTATTGTAATGTTGTCATTAGCTGTCACTATCCGTGTGGTGATGGATTTAGAATACGGAGTGTTACCACCCCTCCATGTCCAGCAGTAGACTACTGAAGGTTGTTGATGATGATGATGATGTCATTAGTTTCGGGCAGAGGGCTCTGACTTTCTGGCAATAGCCAAGTCGAGGTACAGGTATTTGACCTTGCAATCAGTTTAAGCAATATTCCTTTGTTACTGTTGTTTTCCATTCTGTTTCCACCTTTCCTTTCAAATATATCTATTCAAATTTTGCCCATCTAGTACCTAATGTCACGGGTTCAGCGTAATAGACTTGTTCAATATTATTCGGCAAAGTATGGGTGTTTTACATTCACTTGTTTGCTCCTTATGTATTTGTTATCGTAGTATCGTATCTTTAATTTGATATTATGTAGTATTTGTTGTTATTAAAGTCGCATTGTACACAATGATCCAAAATTATGATGTTGATGATGAGGTTTATATATGAAAGAAAGAAAAAGAGTAAACAGTGCAAATGACAGAGAAAAATGATAAAAGAAAATAATTCAGAGTTTTAAACTTATACAAAACATTTAACGATAAAACACAAAAGCCACTCCACACCAGACACTCTTCCACAGTTTCTTATCGATGTTGTTCATTTACATAATAATGATTCGAAATAAATCCGTAATATAGGACATAAGTATTTAAGATACGTTTATAAATACTGATATTAATGTAATATGTATACATCACTTAATGCTGTTAGTAATTTCGATTAGTGTTATGTTTAGCACCAATATTATAAGTGCTTTATGCGGCATATTTGGGCCGGTTCGACCGCAGAGACATCACGGCCTCACAAAAAACCGGTATAAACCTATTTCTCATTTTTTCTTTTTACCTAAGTAGTGAGAACCACAAAAATGGGGGGGGGGGTCTTGGGGTTGCTCCCCCTTCTTGATTCTGGGGACGGGACATTTAAAAGTTGGCAACGCTCTGCTCTTGTGACTTTTGAGTTAAAGGAGTCCCTGAGCGGCGGTAATTGCTGACTATCAAAAGACTCATCTGGCCCTCAATTCTGTTATTTAATATTGTTTCAATAGACTGTCGATGGACTGTCGTCGGAATAGTTTTGCACTGTTCATATTCTACTAACTATCTGGGAACAATGGACTTGTCACTGAACTGCCCCTGTTACAAATGTCGTCGAAATCTTTGTTATAGTTTGGTAAACGGTACATTTTAAATTTGTAAGGAAATGATGAAATGATATATTGAATACGCCAGATATGGCAATGTTGTTAATATTACCATTGATGAGCCATTGCCACTATATCGACAGTTTATTGACTGTGAATTTATGTTAGTAGAATACCAATATTTGGACTAATATCAATGGCACCTAAAAGCGTGCCAATAAAATGACAGTGGATTGTGACAACATAAAATAGCAGAATAGAAGCCCTGATCGCTTGTCCCCATACAATGACAATAAGAATGTTACACTATGTCATAACATTATTTGGTATGGGTCCCCGAGTTAAAGATATGGCCGCTGGGGACCTCAATTTGTTAAATGAAAGTAGGATGAACCCAGCTTGATTGACTGACGATTTGAGACAGGTAGCTTAAGTAGATTGGATGCAGAAGGTGGAGGAGAGAGAGCTACAGCGCATTTTGGGAGAACTCATATTCAGCAGTGGACTAGGGTGATTAAATGATTGATTGATAAGTACCATGACATAGTGAACATAGTTGAAGGCAAGGTTTAATTCGTGTAGCAAAACACATGCTGTAGGGTTTTTATATGCATGTTTTGCCTTTCCCATGTGTTAACCGAGTGACCCATGAACACACCGTACGACACTAGGGAAGTCCCAGAATTAAATTAACCTGTCTAAAAACCCGCAACGAAATTAGTCAGAAGAAAATTGGAGGAGTTGGAAATACAATAAATCCACTTCAAAAAGACAACTTTAAACAATTTGTGAGTCACAAAAAGTGTTGTCCTATGCGGTGTTTTCAACCTACAGTAACCCACAACAATCAGTGCAGTGCAGCAGAAGCAGCGAGGTCACTGCTACCCATCCGTGCATTCAAATGCGGCATAATGTGTATGACATGTATTAGCAAGCTAAAGTGGCAGTGGGTTAGCCATATTAGCCGCAGAACTGACAAGAAGAACCGAAGAAGATAACCGTTGGGGTAAACGAGTTCTTGAGTGGAGACCTCGTCTCGGCAAACTTAGTGTAGGACGCCCACAGTCCAGGTGGAGTGACGATTTGCGCAAGATGGTTGGCAGGAGCTGGATGCCTAGCTAGAGGCCTATGTCCAGCATTGGTCTGCGATACGCTAATGATGACGATAATGTATGTGTCTAGAAACGTTACACATGTTTGACGGCCGGATGGCGTAGTGGTTTGTGTAACGGAGTGCTACGCCAAAGGTCGTGGGTTCCATTTTTGATCAAGTCAAACATTTGTGTGCATGAACTTTTAATGTTTGATTTGATCTGGGTATTTCTATGTATAATGTGAATATATTTACAAAATAAAAAGTATAAATGTTTGTATTTATATCAGTTGTTTAGTACCCACAGTACAAGCTCTGCTTAGATTGGGACTATTGTGTGAATGTGGTAGATTATTATTATTATTTAAAAATATAAATGCCTGGTTGACGAGTATAGGCTTGTCCTGTATCACTTGAGTTGGACTAAAATTACATATACCTGGTAAAATATGGGCGTTTGAATACTCTTTGTCGACGCCTTTGGAGATAAATTTAAAATAAATAAAATGAAAACGAAAAGTTTTGTCTTGTTTTATATTTTACACTTACCGATAGCTGATAGCGTCAAACGCCTAATAGAAATCAAATTTTACGTTGAAACATGTTGCTAGTATTTTTCTTATTTTTGTTTCCGAAGTTGTTATAAAATTATGTAATCATTCGATTTCACTAAGGGAATATGCATACATACCTCTACTAACTGATATTTCGAATAGATTACAGTTTATTTAAAAGCACCCGGCTTCATTTATTTAAACAGTAAATCATGAATAATACATAAATGAGCTTTTTTTAACACTAAAATATAACATCAGTAGTTAAACAAGTGTTATTTTACATACATACATTTTTTTATGATCTCGGAAGTGACCGTACTTTTCAAGTAGCCTCGGTTTGTACATTCCTTCCGTAGGCGTGCAAACTCAAGCTTCCTGATGACCTTCAACATTGGAGACAAGATCGGAGAGATTTGGAGAAATTTTCGTAAGCCAAAACTTTTTACAGAAATTCTGCTGATGCTCAACTTGATAGGATCCCCAATACGATCAAGATATCTAATATCGGTATTAGCAAGAATAGGGAGAGCAATGAATTACTTACGTAAGCTTAGAGCAAGTAGCTATAGGAGAAAAAATGTGTGTTATCATTACAGATAGTGATCGCCTGTCATATCCTTGGTATAGTGGCTTTTTATAAAGTTGCTTTGTTTTAATGTGAAAGTGTGAAACCAATAAACTGATTTCATACATTCTTCCACCAATAGAAAGCTATATTATCAGCGAGTAACATAGGCTACTTTCAACGCCGATTTCGCCCTAACAATATCTCTTTTAAAGGACCTCCAGGCTAGTTAGTAAAAAACAAATGGATACATAAGCTTTATAAATTTAGATATCGTATCACCCATGCCTTTTCCTCGACAATGTTTTTCTGTTGGAGAGAACAACATATTGTTTTCTTAAATACCTACGAAAATTGACTTTTAGGACTTTCCGATGACACATTTATTTTGTGCGTGCCCGTGGTAGTATCGACATAATTAACAGTTATTTACATACTTTCGTGTCCAAGTGGTGACGGATTGAGAATACGAATATGTCTCCACCCTTTATTCATCCCGTGGGTGTCGTGAGAGCTGACTAAGGGAGCAAAATACGCAGAACAACAGCACTGCAAAGAGAAGAAAAACTTGACACAAACCCTATACCAACCCATCTGGCCACCGTGGTTATAGTAGGTCAAAACCTCCTTTCTAAGGAGAGGCCTATGTCCAGCAGTGGACTACTAAAGGCTGTTGATAATATACTTTCGTATTATCTCTAGCTTACTATTATTGTAAAGCTGAAGAGTTTGTTTGTTTTCTTTTAGGGTCCATTTATTGAGGAACGCTATAAGGGTTTATAACATCACACTACGACCCATTGGAGCCATCAATGAACATTTTTGCAAAATGCAACTATAATGTGCCACAGCGAAGCGTGGCGGGGTATAACCGGGGTACAGATACACACAGAATACTGAAACTTGAACTGGTAATGACTAGTTCAAGTTTCCTAGCAAACAGTAGCTTTTATTCCCAAAGATTCCTGTAGACTTCGCTACGCTCTCTCTTTTTATCTACCAAATTTTTAACAATTTTAAAATTATTAATCCTGAGTGTGAGAGTGCTCCAAGGAGTTGTTCGGACTAATACCGGCCGGAACTTTCCGCCATCATTTCACACTGCAAAGATTTCATCCCCACCACTTGGATAATTGGCACTACACCACTGTGCGCTTTTCAAGACACTTTTTGCGTCGCAGACCAATCTGGGGAACAAATTATCGTGTGCGATATTTCCGGACTGATACGACCTTCACATCTTTAAGAAAAGAGCGTACTCCTTTCTCAAATGCTTGTCACTTGTCGCTTGTCACTCCTGAGTTGCAGGCGTTTATGGGTGGCGGTAGTCGCTTTCCATTAGGTGACCCGTCTGCTCGTTTGCCACCTCTTCAATTAAAAATAACCTCTGCATTCGGATTTTTGGGTAATAATAGGTTTTTAGTAACTACTAGCAATGACAATAGGTCCCAAACAAATTAACCTTAACCAAAAACGTATAAAGTTAATCAAATCTATAAAAGACGAATGCATTCTAGTGTATGTCATTGGTAGTCATTTGTTTTGTTATTTGTAAATTAAATTTGACAAACAAATTACTCTACTTCTTTATCAGTGTAATGTACTAAATATAACAGCTAATACATACATATAAATCTTTTTGTATAACACGTAAACCGTACACACAATAAACCATATGAAAAGACACCGGCTTACTTTTACTTTACACGAAATAACAATTGTTTTCCAGCCTGATTTTGAGCACATTTCAACGAAAGACTATGACTTTTTTGATTTGTTTTTATTTAATGATATCTACATTATCCATTAATTTAAAGCAAGGAGAAAAACAGTGTGTTATCATTACAGTTAGTGATCGCCTGTCACGTCCTTGGTCTAGTGGCTTATTATAATGTTACCTTGTTATAATGTGAAAATGAGTTTGTCTGTTTGTTTGTTAGGCTTCCACGCCTAAACCAATCCATTGATTTTAAAAATTATTACCAATAGAAAGCAAATTATCAGCGAGTAAGGAGAATACAGTAATATTTATCACTCGTCTTGGTATTGGTATTTATGCATGTTTGTAAGGTAGGCTGGCCATCTGGCCAGCGTGGTATAGTGGCCAAAACCTCTGTCCTAAAGAGAGGCCTATTTCCAGAAGTGGACTATAAAAGGCTGTTGATGATGATGAAAGTAGGCTTAGTGAGCCAATCGAACTCCATCCAGAATCACAAATGCCTCCTGAAGCGTACGCAAGGTTCCAAGAGCGATTGTGTATCAAGAACGATGCTAGCTCATTGTGTGGTAACTTCCTCGCAATCCAGGATTAAGTGGGCGGCCGTTTCATCTGTCTTAAGACACCGTCTATATAGGGGACTATCAAAATTTACAACTGTTTTATTTCTTCTTGGGACTACAATCTTGCTAACCGTTTTTAAACACTAATAACCGCTCACCACGTACATTCCTTATAAGTCAATTGCTAGACTGCTGATAAATATACTTATGTCGTAATACTCACATATTGAAGATAATTAACATCTAGACACGAACAAATATTAAAGGCCAACAACGCGTGTGCACCCTCATTTTCTTCTCAGCGAAAGACGCTTCTCTCCCGAAAGACGTCCACTGCTAAGTTATGTCAACAGCCAGTCCTGTAAAGCCCGCATTTAACGGTTTCCCTTTCGGGTTTTCTGCACCTGGTCGTCGGACCATCTTACCCTAACCACGCTTCTTTTTTCGGTGCCCGTTCGTCACTCGAGAACCGTTTGGGCTCATCGGGTATTATTTCTACGAGCAATGTGCCTCGCCCACTGCCGCCTTAGTTACAATATAACCATTACAAAATTATTTATTTTCGTTGAGAATCGAACCCTCTACCTGTGGGCAACAGTCACCACTAATTACTAACAGAAAAGTCAAATAAGCATACCTATATTATAGATTATATAAACAATGAATATAAATATTATTGTGCTATTTGTTTTTGGTGAGTAATTCATACAAAAGAGGAGAATCCATCTATAAATTATAATGTTAATGACGTCTAAAATATATTATTAAACACACAAAACGTACAAAACAGTCCTTAGCGAAGTGTCGTCAAGTTAAGACCTAAATTCATCATGAATATTTCGAGATTGTTTTCAATTCTGATTCTTTTTGCTTTTGCATTGGGTCAATCTGTCGTTGAAAGTAATAATCGCGTTAAAAGACAAGATGTTATTAAAAACTATAACTGCCCTATATCTTACGTCGTCAGATTCTTCGAAAAAAAGAAATACTGCATACCCTGTGATACGTAAGTACCTACAATTTTAATTATTTATCTCCTGATCTTAATAATGTTTAGTGCTTATATGTAATGGTTTATTAACTTTTAAGTAAGTATCGTATTAAAAACATCACAATAAATTGTAATAGGCCTCTCCTTAGAAAGGTGGTTTTGGCCTACTATACAACGCTGGCCAAACGGGTTGGAGAGGCCTACGTCCAGCAGTAGACTATTATGGGCTGTCGATGTGTAAGACTTTAACATCAAACCGATGCTGAAGATATCTGAGGTTTTTAATTAATAATCATTTCACTATCGAAAGTTTTATTGAAAAGAATTTATGAGCAGCAGTTTATAAGTTAGTGTTGGTTTGATCTGTTTTTTTTTTAATCAGTTTACTTGCTTCCGCAATACTTTTTCCAGTACCAGTCTTCTCCTGAACTTTCTTTGTATCTGAAAATTAAATTCAAATATAGAATACTACTATTGCTAAATAAAACAGTAAACATGATAATATATTTGACTGCATGGATGGCGTAGTGGTGGTCGCCACGCCGTCTCCCACTACGTCGAGTGTTGTGGGTTCAAACCCCACATGGTACGACACTTCGTGTGATCCACAAATTGTTGTTCTGAGTCTGGGTGTTCTTTGTGTCCCTTTTATGTATGTTTGTAAAGTCCTCCGCGATACAGGATATATTCCTAATGCGGGAGTGGCTTTAAAAAAAAAAACAAAATTACAAAATATGCTGCTAAGGAGGAGGTTTATGAGACAAATGTAGTCTCTTTCCTATAATTCGTTCCCATTTTACCAACATTTCCATTTATTATCATATCAACAGCCTTTAATTTATAGTCCACTGATGAACATGGGCCTCTCCTTAGAAAGGAGGTTTTGGCCTACTATACCACGCTAGCCAGACGGGTTGGTATAGAATTTGGTTTAAGTTTGCCTTCTCTTTGCAGTGCTGTTGTCCTGCGTAGCTTGCTTCCTTAGTCGGCTCCTACGTCACCCATGGGATGAATAGGGGTAGACTTCATTTCATATTCTTAATGCGTCATTACACGAACGAAATTGACTAGCAAAATGAACCTATAATATTATAAATATATTCTAGGTCCAGCAGAGGTACTATACCTCTGCTTTCCGCTTCGGGAGTGTATGTACGTGTATAATATTTAGGTTATGCCAAATCTAAGATCAAAATCATTATTTTACACACCTTTTAATAATTATTTTACTAACTAGCTACTTATACCCTGCTACGATTTCTGTTTCACTTTGAATTTGCATTGATGAGAAATGAGAAACACAATTGAAGCATACGAAACCGTACGAGCGGTTTCCGAAATTCAGATTATATATGTAAATATACAAGAATTACTCGTTTAAAGGTATTAGGTATAAATTTTAAGTAGGTGTCATTGGTGTCACTAATTTTTTTTTTACTAATTGTCAAACTTGTCAAAATCGAAATTCAAAAGGAGTGAATTTTTCAAATAAAACAGAAACAAACTAAAAGTATATCCTCTCAAATATAAAAGAATTTTTCAAATCGGTTCACAAATAATGGAATTAAGAACCTCTACCTTTTTTGAAGTCGTTTAAAAAATAAAAGTTGTTAATATACTCACGTGTCACATGGGATGCAGTGTTTAGCGTTGCTTATAAATTTACGGACTTGGCCAGCAGCACAGTTTGGGTCTCTTATACCAAATTGGCTGGTTACTCGATAGTTGCCTTCAACATCAGCAAGGCCTAGTTCAAGAACTAACATAGTAACAATGGTAATTACACACAATGCTTTCATGGTGGGTTGTTGTCTTAACTCGCTAGATGGCTAACCTACTTACCAAAGAAGAACACTGTGTTTTTATACCCATATTTACCGGCCAATTTGTATGTTGCAATAATAAAATTGTATTAACACTAAAAAGCTATAATGTACTTCCGTCACCGTAGTGGGGATAAAATAGCCATCCGAAAGTAATCCCTACTATTTAATATTTCTAGGTGACTACTAAACAACTTTGATTTATTATCAGCCCTATTTTGCTCCAGGAATATGGGATTCAAAACAAAAAACATGATGAGTTATCAAACTGTACTAAGACATAAACAAGTCTTTTCCAGGTCAATGTGTCCGATTTTATAATAAAATCCCAAATAATATTCAAGACTTAAGTATTAACAAATTTAAATCCGCAATAAAACGTGGCTTGTGCCAGAGGGCCTACTACTCAATTGAGGATTACATAGAAGACAAGAATGCTTGGGAATAATTAGCGCAGGCCATTTCTTTCTTAAGTAAAAGTGTAGTATGGCTAGTCTGTTTTTAATTATTTTTTTTCTATTTTTTATGTTTCACTTCATTTTCTCTTTTATACAATTTTTTATTAATCTTATATTGTATATCTTATCTCTTCATTGTCTTTTTACCTTTTAGTCTTTAATAACGGACCTTGTGAATTGCAAAAGAGTGGCCTAGAGTTTGTTTGCCCTTTCTTCTCTTAAGGCTCAACCCCTTAGAAACGGGCGGTTGTAGATCGGCACAGGGATATCATAGATTTTGTATGGGTTTAATTTTTGTTAAATTTATTTGCTTACTATTTGACAAAACAGAGATTGTTGCTTTTGTGTGTGTGTTGATCTATGACTTTAGTCTAAAAAATTTATAAAAAAAGAGAGCTTGAGTTTGAATGTATCACTAAAATAATTCATTCATCAATTAAGGGAAATAATGAAAAAAAAACCTTTTATATAACAGTAAAAATTGAAAAAAAAAAGAAGAAAAAATGAAAATGCTTAATTCAAGGCAGCTAGCCTTTCCGTAGTCTAGAACCAGCAGGAAAAGTTAGCCCTCTCTCATCATCATCATCATATTTTTGCAGTTGAAAAACTGAAGATGGGACCAAAACAACCGTTGTATCATTTGTAGGTTAACTTATTTGTAAATACCATCAAGAGATGCGAAACATCGTGAATCACTTTGTATTACAACAAATCTATTCACAACAACCGAATACTTTGGCTGCCTTACGCTTCACTCTGCTGCAGCGTTAGCACTTTTACTTTGGCTGTCAGTACATCGTGTCTATAAAGATGGCAATAAGAATCAAACATAAAATCCTGTTTTTTTTGAAGTGATATAATCATCATCATCTACAGCCTTTACTAGTCTACGGCTGGACATAGGCCTCTTGTATTTGGATTTGAATTACTATACGACGCTGACCAGACGGGTTGTTATAGAGTTTGTGTCAATTTTTCCTTCTCTTTGTAATGCTGTTGTCCTACGCTGTTTGCTCGTGTAGTCGGCTTTTGCGACACCCAAGGGATGAATAGGGGTGGTGACACTCTATATTCTTTAACCCGTCACCACACGGACGTTATTTAAATAATTAAGTTATTTCCTATCAAAAAAGTACACTGCATCAACAAAAATGTTTTTTTCAAACGATCTTAGCAACTAAAATGTAAGCGTATCGTAAGAAAAGATTTTTAAAACAGGTACGCTGTCAACTAAGCTCTGACAAGAAGAGAAGGAGTATCGTTTAAGTGAGCCACCATCACAGTACTCACACAACAAGAACGGGATCACGATAATCAATCATTAGAAGAACGAAAATATGTGTTATTTTAGAGCAGTGCTTATATCTAACAACTAAACGACGTGAGATTTCGAAGTATATGTATATTCACACGGCAAATGGTCTGTGGTGCAAAGTGCCACTGTATTTAATTTTGAATAGTGAATAGTGAATTTTATATAACTGTTACTGAAGAAATTGAAACTCATTACGCAGCATGATTCTCAAACAATAACAATTTGTGAATCTATGAGTAAAATCAATTTGATGCCGTCGAAATGGCAGGCTTCGTTTATAAACAAGAAAGACACATGTAGAAGCAAAAGATTAGATTTGATTAGAAGAAGGAAGTAAAACAGAAAAACATCTTGTGTAGAAATATGTGTCGAATATCTTGATAGCGACAAACAAACCCTTTTTGGAAACAGAGTTTATTAGGTAATCTGTGACGCTATTTATAACTCGTTTAGTATTATTAGAAAGAAACAAATAAAAGTAGAAATTGCTGCTACGGGCGGGGCAGCAAATGTAGACGAGAGCCAAACTACGACCCTGAGTGACATCTTCTGTATTAGCTAAAAATTTAGATTTTTAAGTTATCAGAATGTTTTTGAAGTGCATCTACTTACCGCTAAAGGAGTTGTATGATGAAAAAAAAAAAAAATGGAAATATTATATTAACTCAACATTAGTAGATATTTTTGCCCTGATTCTTTTCTTGGTGTCCTGCAATATGTTATCCAGAGCTGATCACGGCCAATAGACATAGCATAACTGCAAATGATAATAAATATTGAATGATTTTTTTATATTAAAAGACAACTCCCGCATTAGGAAGAAATCCTATGTCGCGTTGGACCGTACAAACATACATGAAACTGACACAAAGAACACCCAGACTCAGAAGAACAATTTGTGGATCACACAAAGTGTCGTTCCATGTGCGGATCGGACCCATAACACACAGCGTAGTAGTAAGCGGCGTGGCGACCGCTTAAACCACTACGCCATCCGTGCAGTCGAACTAAAAGGAATAAATTAGTTTAATATGTATTTGTGTTATAGTTTTATGAATTTGATACGTATATGCTATCTAAAATAAGTTCAACAAGTTCCTGTCGGGTAGCAGTACAGCATTCGAAAGTTTATTTTTATCCTTTTCAAACTAGTAACAAGTTGTTCTAAGTATTATTTTTCTAAATCTTTTATATGTCGTACCAAAATTTTTCTATAAACATTTTGTAAGTTCTTCGATGATTACTCTAATACTAACGGATCTACTAAGTTTCCTTAAAGATTCTTCAATTTACTAACTGTCTATATATAGTTATATTTTTTAATTTTAAAACAGTTCACTTTTGAAACAAATTCACAGTCACATAAATTTAACAGTTTTAATTTCCAAGACTCTTCACCCCAATTAACAGAATGCGAAA